CCTCCATCCCCACCCCTGTCTCTAAAGGGTCTGAGGTGGACCCAGTGTAATAGGTTTGCATCCGTGTTTGGCCAGGGGAGAAAGCAAGATGCTCTTCACCCGGCCAGCAGGGTGTTGGATCCACTTTTCTCCAGCAGAGGGCAGTCCCCTGCAAGCCCTGAGGCTGCCTGTGAATTTAAGGCCCCTTGACAGGTCACTCCTCTAATACAGTGGTCTCCAAACTTTTTTGATCACGCACCCCTATCAGTAAAAAATTTTTGAGCACACCCCACTAATATGTGTATATTTATATAAATATAAAAAGAAGTTCTAATATTTTCTTCCTGCACCCCAGTGCATCGTCTTGTACGCACCCCACTTTGGAGACCACTGCTCTAATAGATGGAGTGGTGAGGAGCTGTACATGGTCAGGGCCCCTGGGCTGGCGTGGGAACTGGACAGCAGTGTGAACCAGCGATTCAGGGTCACCTTCACCAGTGAAGTGAAATACAGGGACTTAAGCAAGCAGGGAGTTATGTTTAACATGGTACCCTTTGAATCATTCCAGTGACAGGACCTGGAATACGTGGTTTTCACTCAGCAGTTTGCCTTCAAGGCTTTGGTGAAAACCAGACCAAAGCATCTTAAAGACAAACTGTCTGGTTGCAACCCATGCTGTTGCTCTCATGCTGTTTTAAAAAATCCCAGCAGGAGAGGTACTGCCGGCTGGGGGTCAAGTGCTTTCCTGATCCCTGTAAACACTACAAACACTAGAGTGCTCCAGTGGAGCCAAGATGGACATCACCCTCATATGCCTTAGTGATCATGTATCATGCACCCCCATGTGCGCTCAAGGGCTTAGCAACTGCACAGCAAATTTTTCCTGAAGGCCAACCTCCCTTTTACCTATAAGGTTAATTTTCTGTTACAGCCCCCCACCTGCCTGATCCCCTCAGCCTCATTTTTTCATGCCTAAACAATGCATTGACCATGCTGCTGGTATTATATGGGAGTCTGCTAGGAATACAGGGGTTTAATCTAGCCAAGATCAGACTAAAGCTGCATCTATTGGAGAAATCACTCTGCAGTGTATTTAGCCAGTCAGTGTTAGCTGCAGCTGATGCGAAAGGCTTATAGTCTGGCTTCTAATCTTTGGGATATAGCAGTCACCAGTCTGTGGGGTCAAGGTGGCTTTGCATTGCAGGACGCTTGCATTTTTCAATGAAGTTGTGTTTCTCTGCAGGTTTGGTGTTTGCTGATCCAGCACTTCCCAGCTGGTGCAGGGTCAGGCAGGCATACTCTTTGATAGCTCAGAAATGCATGGACACTGGAGGCCACATCCTGCCCTCACCCATGCTTTCAGCGCAGCTCTGATGATGACGGCTCCCATGATGTATATCACTGTAGGTGACAGCAGAATCAAGCGAGACATTTATGGCTTGATTGCACCCGGCTAAGTCCGGTCTAGTGTCCAAGGACATCTTGGAAGCAGCAGGGGCGTGTTCCTCCCTGAACTCAGACTAGGGCAACAGAACCACGTAGCAGTCCTGAGTTCAGGGGCTGGTGTGTGTGTGTGTGACAGAGAGAGAGAAAGAGAGAGAAAACACCTCTGCTTTATGCCTGAGAGTTCTGTTGTTAGGAGAGGTGCCATGTGCTGCAGAGGTGCCCTCAGCTACATATTCAGAGTTCCTCCAGGAGGACCAGGGAATTACTGTTATTAATGATGGGCACATGCCTAGACCACTGCCTGTAGGAGACAGGTAGTGGCCCTGCCATAATGCCTCACAGCCGTGTGACACTGTGGGGCACTTACAGCGAGGGAGGCCTGTGTACATGGTCAGGAGCCAGGAGAACAGGTAAACTTTGATGACCTCACCTGGAGTGAACCTCAGGTCTAAATACGTAAAGATCCTTCTTTTCACATCATTGGGGGGCAGGGGCCTTAACAAGAGTGTCCTCAGTGTCCAGGCTGGGACTACTGCCTGGGCTGGTGTTAGTAAGTAAACAATGCATGGCTCTCAAATGCTCTTTATCACCAGCTCTTGCATTATTTGCCAAGGAGGTCAATGTCATTGCCACCACTTTACAGATGGGGAAACTGAGGCACAAAGCATGGCAGCAACTTGCTGTGGAAGCCCAGCTCTCTTGGACAGGGTGTAGGGATAGGGGTGACTAATTACTGATAGGAACATTTGAATGGCTGAAGAAGTAGAGAGAGCAAATGTCAAGCCAGCACCAGCCTCAGCCAGGAAATCCCTAGGAACAGAGGTGCCAAGTATGTGGGGGCTCAAGGGCCCTGGTCCCCCTCAGGAAGAGGGCTGTAACCTGAAATGCATAAAACTTTCCACATGTCCATCACCTTAGCCCCCACCTGCCAATAATAGAAGTCAGTGCCTATGCCTAGAAACATGGTCCTGAGAAGAAGCAGAAGGGGAAAGAGCACTTTGGGAATGAGTGGACTTGCAAGAGCCTTGGAGCTCTGCATGCAGCGCTCTCTCTTTTGCTGATTTCTGGGGCTGTTTGCTGTGTTCAGGGGTGCAGGACTTGTGTTCTTTGTAATCTAACAGGCTTTCATCAAAGAGATGCTGGGCCCCCACATCGATTCTCTTCTTATCAGAAGCCAGCCCTTTGGTAACTGCCTAAGTCAAAAGAGGAATAGCACTGGTGTGCATAGGCATTTTCCTAGAGGCAAAACCATGGTCTGGCAAGCCTGCTGCCCAAGGTGGGCAAACATGGTAGCTGCTTGCAGAACCTGCAGAGGGTTGGAAGAACATAAAATAAGACCTACAGTATGAGCTAGAAACTTCACAACTAACTCAAAGCAGCACCAGGTATTGAGGATCTTTATGTAGAGGTGAAATCTCCAGGGCAGTAACTGCAGAGTGCTTGACCAGACTGGTGTATCCAGCTGCCAGTAGTATGGAAGGGAAATGGATCAATGAGATGACCAGCCAACTCCCAGTTGAAGCCTGGAGGGTCTCCCATTCATTAGGAGAGGCCAGGACACTGTGGCCATCTCGGGACCTGCTACTGGATGAGTTCCAACAAGATCTTACAGACTGAGAACGTGTGTTAAGCAAGGCATCAACATAGTGTGGATCCCACTGGAAGTCAGGCCTCTGGGTGAGGGATTGGCCCAGCTAGAGGTGTGGGTGAGACAGGGCATTCACAACAGTTTTCTGTCTTGTTTTGAAACCCACCATGGCCCACGTGGTGGAGAGGCCAAGTTATCTGATATAACGCAGATATAATAATGCAGATATCTGACTATCTGTAGGACAACATTTGCTGGAAAGCCTGTTCGGTTCAGTTCAGCATCACAGCCCAGTGAGTGGCTGGGAAGATGCTCAGAGAGAGCGTTCCAAGTGAGTCGCCCCAAGGGGACCATGCTGTAGTGTAGCATTGCCTCTGTCTTCCACAGCCAGCCTGGATTTTAGCTGATAGCAGCCTTCTCCCCCCTTGGTCCAGATTTTCCAAACCTCAGCTATAGCCAGTTTTCAAATCACCCCTCTGTGTTCGGGGTGTCTGTCACACCACTCACCATACCCTGTGCTGAAGGGACAGCCTTTGGTGGAAGAGCACTAGAGAATCCATTATAGAGAATCCATCTGTGTGAAGCCTATGGACTGGTTGAAGGCTCAACGATACTTTCATGACCGTACTTCCTCCATGGCCTGTGGAGCATTTTCCCTCATTGCCTCTGGCCACTCTCTGTGAGGAGAGGCTGAGGGACCTGAACCTGTTCAGCCTCAGCAAATGGAGGCTATGGGGGGAATTTGGTGGCTGCCGACAAACTCGTTAGGGGAGATCAGCAGCAAATAGGAAGGGCCCTATTCCCCCCAGCAGCATCTGAGGTGATGAGGAACAATGGCCAGAAGCTGCTGGAGAATAGGTTTAGGTTAGAGATTAGGAGGCACTATTTCACTGTTGGGGTGGCTAGGATCTGGAACCAACTTCCTAGGGAAGTGGTCCTCACTCCTACCTTGGGTAAATTCAAAAAGAGGTTGGACAAAACACCTGTCTGGGGTTGTGTGATCCCAGCGTGTGCTCCGACCAGTGGCGGGGGGTTAGACTAGATGATCTATTTAGGTCCCTTCTGATCCCTAACTACTATGAAACTATGAAACTAGTGAGGTGCCTCTTAGGGGCTTGGTGTCCTCAGTGTCAGTCTTGTGTTGACCCAGTACAACACAATGTAGCTCTCTGGAGGCAGGGACCAGTTGATGCCAAATGAGGAGGTCTCCTACTGGTCTGAGCTGGGGCAAGTCTAGCCAGAATTCTAGAAACTCATCTCTACAGTCTTTCTCCTAGGAGCTCTCCAGCTGTTGTGACACCTCAGCTAGCAGGCTTGGTTCCCTTTCTTGCCAGAGCCATTCAGCAAATAAACTCATTCCTGGTCAGATCCACCTACAGTGTTAGCAGCCAAAGCAGGTCTCAACTCTTCCTTACTTCCCTGTGCTGGAAAGCTACCCCCCCTATGAAGCTGTGATGATGGAGGCAGGAATACTTGCCCCCCGCAGACCAACTGACTGCAAACCATTCATATCACCTGGCCCATATCTTTCAAGGGAATTTCCACGGACCAAAGATACCTCCTTAGCAGTGATTTTAGGGCTAACAGCAACAGTGGAAGCCAAACTAAGTGTTAGCTCAGGCATGAGTGTGGCCATCCCAGTTGCTTGCTAGAGGTGCAGTTTTCAAACCTATTTTTCCCCATTGTCTGGAAATGCCCAGTCAGACCTCCCTTTGAAACCAGTGAAGAGGCAGCTAAAGGGCATGGCATACAAAAGCCCTGTGGTGAGATGCTGTGGGGACTGGAGCAGAGACGCAGGTCTTTTCCCTCTTGGGCCAATGAAGGAACTCAGCTAGGTGAGTGGCACCTCTCCAAGGGTGGTTATTGCACAGAGCCATGGTCACATACACTCAGCAAGGAAGTGACATGAGCACTGTGTACACCTCGGCACTGGCTGCTATCTTGATGGGTGCTGGTGCTTTCCAAAGCTCCTGGTTGAGAAGATGGGGACTGTGGCTTTGGGGTCTCAAGGATAGAAGAGGTTGTGAGAAGGTTCCTCAGGGCCCAGGCAAAACGTGTGCAAGTTCCCTGTGGGGGAGCCCAAGAAAAGCTTGTGCCCTTGCTCCTGCCCCTGCCTTGCCCCAGAATGAGATGGCTTTATGGTCACTGCTGTCCATGACTGGAGATAATGACTCTGTTGCAACCAAATGACAAGACTTGTTTCCAGTCCTAACTGTCCTGGGCTGCAGTGTCAAAGTCACCGGGGAAATTCTCTGCTAATAAAACCTGCTTCCCTGGTGCTGTAACTGCACCGGGCGCACAAGCGCAGAGGCACAGATAACAGTTGGGGCTGAAGTCCACTGCAGGTCAGGTCCTCAGGAGCACGTTCCAGCCTTTCCCTCTGCTGCTCGGCCCCTCCAGCAGCCGTCAGCCTCTCAGCCCCACGCCTTCGCCTTCGCCTTTGCAGGGACTGGTGGGCTAGGAGATGCCTGGCAGCTTGTTTCTCTGGTGGGTTATGGTGCTCTCAGGTAAGTGCTCCCACGCACAACAACTCCCGGCTGCCAAGTGTAACAGGAAACTGTTTCTGAAGCTGCAGATGAGGTGGGGAGACGGGACAAGCCACTGTTTTTTTCTAATCCAGTCTCCACAAGTCACTTTTGTGCATCCTCCAGGGGGCAAATCCAGGACAAGTCTTTTTTGCCCTTACCCTGGGGACAGACTGTCTGTGCTGGTATCAGTGTATCTGAGGGGGCAGTTGCCTTGAAGTGAGTTGCAACGGGCCAGGAAGTGCTTTAAGCCATGGCTAACTGCACTGTAAAAGAGAGGTTATTCCTTGGGGGTTACAGCAGGGGTCTGGGAGGTGGCAACGAACAACTATTCCCAGCTTTGCTACTGCATCTCTCTAGCCTCCAGCAGGTCACTTAGTGCCTCAGTTTCCCTGACTGTTAAATGAGGATAATATTGAGGTCACAGGGGAGAGGTGTTGGGAGTCTTCATTCACTGAAAGTGCTGTGGGTTAGTGGATACTGCAAAGGGGTGGGAGTCAGGAGAGCTATATTCATTCCTGTCTTGACAACCAGATCTGCTGTGTGACCTGAATATCCTGCATTTTCTTGCTACATCTATGTGCTTTTTACCTGGTGTATTAGACTGCAAGCTTTGCTGTACAGCACCTAGCACAATGTGATCCTGATCTCTGCAACAGAGTGCCTCTATGTCTTACCTCAACAGAAATAGTGCTGGTCCAAAAATGTCCAACGGAGCGTTTTCCCATTGGAAACACTTGTTGAGTGAAATCAGAAGGTTCCCAGGAAGTGTGCTGATTTCAGCAATGTTGTCATGGGAAAGTCTCAAAATGTTTCATTTCACTCTTTGTATATTATGTTCTAGTAAAGATGGTAACAGTTCCATGAAATGCTTTGACCTGTTTGAAATGAACCATTTTTGATACAGGGACTTTTGGACTCTTTTGCATTGTGAAAAATGTGAACCTTTGGATCCTGATTTGGGACCATTTGAATCCTGCAATCTCCATTTTCTGCAGGACAGAAATGCCAAACTTCCACCAGATCTAGCATCCAGAAGGAGCGAGCACAGTGTGACTAGGCCTGGGTCCTATCACAGTGATTCTACTGTACATCACAGCAACGCAATACCAAGTTCCTCTCAGGGTGAAAGGACTGTGAAATACATTTCAAACCCAAGCTGTAACAGGAGTGTGCAGATCAATAGATCCCAGCTAACAATCCCTTTCACCTGGCACCTCTGTCTCCAAAGGCCTGTCTGACTCCAGGCATGTGCTGATCAGGCAGGTAACACAGCAGCAAGTGTGGGGCAAGTGGCAGTCCCTTCCCGTTTCATCCATGGTCCTGGGGACTGTAGCATCTGTGCTGAGCAGACAACTCTAACTGCAAAGGACTTGGCCCAAAAGGATCCTAGTCAGCAAACATCATTCTTCTCCTTCCAGAGGGGGAAGGGTGTGTACAGGGCTCTTCTGAGGTACCTTTCAAACTTAAGGTATGGACCTATCCCTTAGACTAGGGGGAGTTCAACCCCAGAACCGCAAACCAGATTGGGCCTGTGGAGTCATGTCATCCAGCCAGTGGGGCTTCCCACAGGTCAGGAAATTTGGTGATGAAGGAGTGGTGGCAGCAATTGTCACTCCCTTGCTGACAAAGTTTCCAAACCATGGGGAGCCCATGGGCCAGATAATATGGCCCCGTGGGCTGTATCAGGCATGCAGGGCTGGGGCAGAGGCAGCGTGGCCCAATCCCAGGGCACTGGATCAGGCAGATGTGGTGTGGGACTAATTGGGGTGCTGGACCTACTTCAGGTGTGCAGGGATGGGGGAGGCTGTCTGGGGACTGGTGCCGCAGGGTCCAATCCTGGCAAGGTTTTGAGGGAGGACAATCCTCATGCCTGGGGCCCAGTTTGGCCTGTGGACCAGCCCTGCACCATTCATCCAGCCCACAGGGCCAAAAGGGAAAGCACTGCTGCCTTAGATCTTTGGATCTAAATACGGATGGGCTGCTGTCACTGCCACTCACATGTCTATAATAGCCAGCCATTGCTCAGGCTCTCTTGCACTTAAAAGTAAGTGTCATTTCAATACAGCAGCAAAAGCCACCACACCATTTATCACAGGAGCTACCACACTCCTGCCTGGTTACTGGAGCTGGATGGTGGGTAAAGACTGTTTTGTGGAGGATTGCAGCATGCAGCTCTCTTTCAAAGGAGAATGAAAGGTGCCATTTCAAAACGTCAAAAAAATTAGGGAAAAAAAATCTTTGGGGTTAATTTTAATTTTCTGATTCCAGGTTCTCTTGTTTTGAATTGGATCCTTATTTTTCTTATCCACTAGAACACAGAATAAACAAACCCAGTCGCAGGAGCGTTGTTTCAAAATTAACCACTGACACATTCATTCTGGTGGTGTTGAAACCCAAGGCAGAGGGCAAACATGACCAAGGTTGCTGGGAATAGACCCCAAGTCCCCAGTTTCTTGTGGGTCTCATCCTCTCCCAGACCTGGGACTGGACCCCAGAGCCCTGACTAGCCAGTCCCCTATTATAACCTAGAGACTAGGCAGGAGAAGCCAAAGCACAGAGCCAATTAGTTCCTATTCCTCCCCACCACCTCTCCTGCTCCAGCACTGAGATAGGGCAGGTCCTTAGACTGTCTGCACTTCACAGTGACTTTCCTCCTCCTGGGCTTGGCTTCTGTCCATGGTCTGCACCATGGCCCATGAATATTGGTGATCTGCTTCCTCAGAAGCCACTGCCTGGAGCCATGGGGTGAAGAGGACAGGAGCTGAACCAAGCTTCAGCTCAGCTGGAAAAAACCCTGGAAATGTCAGCTGCTGGCCTGCTCTCATGAGAAGTCCCACGTAGCTTAGTAGGAGCTTTAGCTTGTGGGACAGGACTCTGCATTGGCTGAGCCAGGGGTATGCAAATTCTTCCCCCTCTCAGTGTTGAGGGTCACCTATCACTGGGTTAAATCCTCTCTCTCTTTTGGGTAGCTGGGCCTCACCCTCTCGGCCAGTCCATCTTCATCAACAGATGCTCCAGCCCTGCCAGGAAGGTGTGTGACTTTGTGTGCGACTGCAGGGACTGCTCAGATGAGAACCAGTGCGGTGAGTTCCCTGCTGGCCCTTTCTCCTCCTGCCTGGTGCCTTCTGGCTGGGTCTTTCTGGACAGCTGATTTCTTGTGATTAGCCTCAGCCTGCAACCAAAGCAGCTTTGGTTCCCCTAGTGTCCCTGCTCCTTGAACCCTGCTCTGAGAAAAAGGGCTGGGAGCACAGACCCCCAGGTTGCACTGCAGGACCTGACAAAAGGGGCATCCAGCTGCCCTCTAAAGGGCTGCATGTAGCTCATGTGGACACATCCTAGCAGGCTTCCAGCCAGTGCAGGTGCTGAGATCAGGGCAAATGCTGCAGCAGCTTACTGAGCATGGGCTGCAAAACCAGCCCAGGACCCTGGGTAGAGACTTAGGTGGGGAACCTGCGCTGGGATCTGCTTAGGCATTGCTGCCCTGCTGGCAGTAGTGGTGCTGGCTGGTGTCAGGCTACCTACCTGGGCAGCAATCCCATCCTCAGAGTGCAGGGGAAATGTACTCAGAGCCCGATTATCTTTTTCCCCCTGCTGCTTCCCATGATCTAAGTCAGCTATTGGCTGTGCCTTGTGAGACCTAGTTATGCTTTTACACCCAGAGGACCTGAGTTTGGTTTTTGCAGCCAGCCCATCCAAGAGTAGTACTATTATTCTACCTGTGCAGCAGTGCTGTAGGGTGTGAGTGGAGGTAAGGAGCAGGGAGCTGGCTTCCTGGGTGAGCATGTCTCACATGGTGAATAGGCAACAGTGCAGCAACCCTTAGAGGAGCCCTGTCCTGGTCAGCTAGGGCTGTGTGTGTGCTGTGATTGATCCCTTGACTGGTCAAGCAGGCAGGGGGCAGGGAGCAGGGGCAGGGTGATGGGCTCATCTGCTTGCCTCCCTTACACCATTGCATTGCATCATGGATTACTGGTGAATGCTTCATGCAGCATTCACCACTATTCTCAGCTGGAGCCCAGGGAAGCCTAGACCCTACAACGGGTGAAGCGAGGAGGGATTTCTCTGACCTCCCATGGGATATGGCAACTGCAGTGATCCTTGGTTGGGCATGGCCCCGACACAGATCAACCAGAGCTTCAGAGTCATATCCTGCTGCTCTGCTGCTCCAAGTCCTGCTCTGCTGAGGGGGGTCCCAGCACTGTTTGCTTCCATCAGGGTACCACAAAGAATCCGCCACGCTGGGAACTCCCTTCACCTGTGACTTTGAAGATGGCAACTGCGGCTGGCAGGATGTGAGCACATCAGCCTACAAATGGGGCCGAAACCATGCCAGCATCTCCACAGAGAGGACAGGGCCCCACTCAGATCACACCCGGAGCACTAATTTGGGTAAGCCACCTGCAAGCACTGTGCCAAGGTATAGGGCCTGGAAAAATCCCCTTCCCCTCTGGCGGTTGTAGCTAGGACTGGTGCCTGGGCTTAGATGTGCTGCTGTGTTCTCACCTGGGCCTGGAACCCCGGACCCTGACTGACTGCCAGCCCCTGTGATGGGGCCGCCTGGTCTCCTTGTCACTCCTGACCCTGTCTGTTTAAGGCTGAGATGTACCAAAAGTGGCCATTTGGAAGCAGATGCTCTGTTGGTTGGTGGGTGAAAGGGCTCCTAAATAAGGCAGGTGAGGTTACTCCTCTCTGCCCTACACAAGATGTGGGGCAATGCAGATTCTGCCTCTGTGAGGTCTATAGTGCCTACCATTGTACAAGCACCGTGTGGCCACAGCCCATTTCTGTGCCTGGGGCTTGCTTGTCTGCGTCAGTTTGCACATTCTGCGAGTTCTCATTGCTGAGCAAACCACAATGGTGAGGGTCTTTTGCTTGGTGCATTCAAACATCTCAGGATGTCAGAATGAAAAATATGGCACTTCATTTCCTTCAGAGACATGAAAAGAGTGATACTAGGAGAGACTGGCAGGCAGACCTGTGATGGGGTCCAGCTCCACTGAACACAACCCCTTTGCCATGTGTGTGGTGTCTGTCATGCCACAAACATATCACAGCTTTCCTGCACACAGTTACAGAGGCACAGGTATGATGGAGGCAGGGAGAGAGTAGGAAAGGCACTGGGATAGTGGGGAGTCGGGGCAGGGAGGAAGCCAGTTCCTGGTGCCGTGAGCTACAGCAGGGAAGGTTCTTGCATGGACAGCAGTGGCTTGAGTCTCGTGTCCACAGGCCCGTGTGTTCCTCCAAAACCTGTGTGAATGCCCTCTCACAGGGTGTCAGTGCTCCATAATGATTGAAACATTTCCCCCCCGGAATCTCTCCTCTGATGTGACTTTTCTGCTTTTGGTCCCTGTGAGGACCTCAGAACTGGACCTGTTTTATGTGCCTGTGTAATGCTTCTGGGGAGAATACGCATGGCATGGAGCAAAGATGTCTCCTGTGTACATCAGCTGAACTGGGTCAGGGCAAGGACCATGCCTCCTTGTCTGTCTTGGCCTCGTTGTTCTGTGTGGTCAGTCCTCCCCACGTGTGCTTTCCCCAGGCTGGTACATGGCAGCAGAGATGAGCAGAGGGAAGTTGGCTGTCACCACTAGGTTAAGGTCCCCTGTGATGCGACAGGCAGCATCCACCTGTGAGATCCACGCATGGTATCACCTGTGGGGAGCAGGTACGTGGCTGTGCATTGCACTCTACTATGTCTGTCTAGAGAGCTGGGGCATGCCCTTGGATGCACTGCTGTGGGCTGAAGGGCCTCTTGCTTAGCACAGAGCCTAGTGCTTCAGCGAGTACTGGCAGGTAGCTACAGTGGGCTGGGGACCATGCCACCCCTCTGGGGATATGATCAGCTGGGCTGGGTGCATCTGTGACGCAGGTAGCTAGGACAGGGCCCGCAAGACTCTTAGCTGGTTAGTATGATATTGCCTGGGATGGGGAAGCTGGTACTGGCCCCTCCTGGAGGCATGGTCTGGGCTCGGTGGACCTCTTCCCTGATCCATCTGGAATCCCGGGTGGCTGGTATGCACCAAACCTTGCCCAGCATTTCTCAGTCCCTTCTGACACCCGCATTAATGGAATCCCCCAGTTAAAGATGGGGGAACTGATGCACAGGGGGCTGGAGACTACCCACCAAGTCAATGTACAGAGCTGAGAGCTGGGCCTGTCCTGTTCTCTAGAAGGCCGCTGGGCACAGAGCCACTTCATGCTGCTTGGCCTTCTTGAGTTTGCCTCCAGAACTGTGCCCTTCTACCGGGATTCAAGTGGAATATTTCAGAGCCCAGGAGTCTGGGCTGCCAGTTCCCTACAAGTATAGAGCATGCGCCTGTGAAAGGCTGGCAGAGCTGAGGCCTTATCTGTGGCTTTCAGCACTGCTGAATAAAAGGCCCAAATAGGGTGCCTCCAACAAACCCTTGCCCCTTGCTAGGGTGCAGGGGGAGGGCACTGGCTGGAGCTGGTAGTGCCAGGGATGTAGCTGGGTTATCCTGGGAGGCTCTGGAGTGGTGACCAAGTATCCTGGCTTCACTGCAGGTTTCAACGGAACGGCCCTGCCTGCTCTGCAGATGGAGCTGACTCATGAAAACGAGACGGTGACGCTGTGGCAGAGCCCGGAGAGCATCGTCTATGCCTGGAGGGAGCTGGTTGCATACCCAGGCCGGGTCCCAGGGGAGTTCCAGGTCAGGAGCTCCCCACCCAGCCTCTGCCTGCTGGGGCCATGCACCTAGTGCCAGTGGCATGTGACGTGCCGCACAATGGCAGCCACAAGAGATGGAGCCAGAGGTGCTGCAAGGTGCTTCTGGTTCTGGAGATCAGTGCAGCATCTGGAACAGGCTCCTGGGCTCTTGCTTCCTGGCAGCTGGCTGATTTAGCACAGAGCTGTGTCTGGCATGAGGGCAATCAGCCTGTCACTCAGCTGTATTAAGTTATGGCTGGTGGAGCACCCCAGGACTTGCTCCCACTCACGCAGGGGGTGAAAACCCCTCAGTTCCTACAGAGCAGGGCTGTGGCCTCCATCCGTGTGGCTGTGGATGTGGTGGAGGCTGGGCTCCCTTCGGAGCCCCTGATTCCACCTGATGGGGACACAAAGGAAGGGGTGGGGGTGTCTGCAGCACTCCCAGGCTAGGGGTGAATTCAGTGCAAGACAGAGCCAGGCTCATGCCTATGTGGGGGAAAGTGTGGATGGGCCATAGAGCCCAGATGGGAGGCTTTGCACCTTTGTTTTCCCACTGTATTTTAAAGAGCAGATCAAGCTGTGGCAAAGCAGAGGGGCTGGTGGGTTCCTCAGAGAGAGGAGAGCTGGGAGTCTGGCTGGCAGAGCAAGGACACTATAAGCTCCACAGGGGCAAAGGGAGTTCAGAGGGCAGCATGAGAAGACCTCCCTTCTAGCAGGGGTCTGTGCTGCTCAGAGCTGGCATCCAGCTGGGTCTGCAGTGGGACAGATGGTGGTGCTAGCGGGGCACACTGACTATGCCAGCCTCTCAGGCCACCGCAGTTGTGGCAATGCCTCGAGCCACACCAACACCATGTTCTCTTGTGTCATGGCAGATAACCTTCTCCTCAACACAGAGCTTCTCGCAGCTGAGAGACCTGGCCATTGATGACATCGAGTTCAGGAACTGTGGCCTTCCACGTAAGACAGACCCCTCCTGTTCCTACACTGGCCTGGGCCACCTGCCTCTTGCCTGGGAAGAGGAATGAGCCATGGCCTGCAGAGATGAGGTGTCTGAGTGCTGAGCCAGGATGCAGCCAAGTCCTAGGCTCTCCAGCCACCACCTCCATGCAGAGCCCCACAGAAGTTCACAGTATCCCTCAGCTCAAGGGTTGTCCTCTTGCTCCCCTCTTCAGTCTGTCCATGGCAGGAGAAGAAGCCTCTTCCACCTGCTTTGGAAAGCTGAGCTTGCTGCCCTCCCACCTTTCCCTTCAATGCTCTGAACTGCCTCCTGTATTGACTGCAGCCAGAAGGACATGGCCTCTTGAAGAGGGACATGTCTCTGCGACTCCATCCAATGCCGAGGAAGTGGGGCAAGCTAAGAGAGGGCAGAGGGTGTCCCCCCCCCCGAGCCCCTAAAACCTTGTGCAGTACAGAGGTGCCAGCTCCACCTCTTCTCACCCAAGAAAGAGGCCTGTCCAGGCTGAGGGGAAAGGGTCCAGCCACTGTCCTGGCTTCCAGGACCCCTTCCAGTCCCCTTACCCTTCTCTTCCTGGGAGTTGCACTGTCCTCCTTTACCAGGGAACTGAAGGGACCCACGCCCTGTCATGCTGCTGCGTCCTACCCCATCTCTGTCCATCTTGCTCACCCTGGGGCAGGGATCAGAGCTGAGATTTGCCCCATCTTCCAGTTCTGATTAACTCTTTCCTTTCCTGCCTGAACTCAGAACTCATGAGCCAAGCGTGTGGGCCAGAGGAGCAGAAATGCCAACGTGGGTCGTGTGTGGGGAAGGACCGATTCTGTGATGGCAGTGATGACTGCGGAGATGGCTCAGATGAGTCTGAGCTAGAGTGCAGTGAGTGTCCCCAGGCCTGGGTGCTGGCCAGAGGAGGAAAAAGAGAGTGGGTGATGCAGGGAGATCTGAAGGGGAGTCTGTGGCCATGCGTATATGGAGATGGGGGGCATGGGGACACTCGGAACTTCTCTTATCCATCCTGGCACCAGGCTATTCCCCACTATGTGTCAAGGGGTCTGTGCCCTTAGAGCTGGGGAGCTTAGATGCTCACGGTCCTGGGCTCAGGCCCACAACCCAGAGCAGGGCATGTTCAGGCCCACGGTAGGTTCTGCTTCTGGGCTGCAAGGAGGTTTCCTGTGTAGAGCGAGGTGGCTTGGATAGAAGAGAATCCAGCTGGAATCACTCCTGAGAGCCTGAGCATTAGCTAGACACAGCTTTCTCCCACCCTGGTATGTGAGCTGGGCCTACGCCAAGCCCAGGGACTGCAGCCGGATGGGAGGTAAGGAACAGCCCAATGCCTGGATCTTCCCTCAGTCCCAAGGCCTTTCTTACCCTGTGAAGAACAGCCCCCCCCATGGAGGTGGAAGACCAAGGACTTCTAGCCAAGCGGGTCCAGCTCCATCTGCAGAGAGCATTGATGCATACACAGAAAGTGCTACAGCATCCCCGGGGCTGCTATAAACCCACCCACCTGGAGGATTTTCTGGCAGAGCTCAGGTCCCAAACCTGGGCCCATATTCCCTGTGTGAAGTGAAGTGTTATATCCAGCTTGATGCTCTTCCTGGTGCCTTGTGTGAGCAGCTTAGACACTGCACAGGCAGAGGAGAACAGCTGTCCTCTTCTCTCCTGACCTCCAGGGCAAGAAGAGCCAGACCTGCTGCCATCCTGGTCATACTTACCCATGCTGCAGTGATCATAGGCTGGAGCCATGCTTGCCCCCCTTCCTGCCATGAGTGTGCCCTACACAGCGTAGAGCCAGGGCTCCACATGTGCATAAGAGAGAGGGCACCATAAAGAAGAGAGTCCCCAGTCTTGCCCACCTTGGGGTGCCCTCCAGAGCCCCACTGCCCTTAGAGGGCCAAGGGGCCTCCCTCCCTACTTGGTGTCCCCCCCAGTAACATTTGCTTTTTCCTTCCAGAATCCTTCAGGGTCTGCTCCTTTGAGGCAGACCTGTGTGGCTGGAAAACTGTGCCCAGTCTCCTAACCTGGAACAGGAACACTGGCCTAGATGTAGTGACTTTGCATGGCCAGCCCACCCGGGACCACAGCAGCAACAGCAAGGCAGGTACGTGTTGGTCTGCTGGGGCCATGGGATTTGTTCACCTCTGCTTTGCCGCTGTGCATGGTCTCTACACAGAATCCACTGAAACACTCGCTGTCCGGTGTCCCCACCACCCTACAGCACAGAGACAAGCCTGCTTTGCTCAGCTCTTTGGGACCTCACTCAGTGCAGGGTGCATCAAACAGGTCCTCCGCCTGGTTTGAAGGGCTGCTTGAGTCACACCCGTGTTGGTGCCAGGGGCCTCGGGAGCTGAGCCCTGTCTGACTCCAGCCACAGTGCTGGCTTCCTTGAAATCATTTAGCTGCCTGTTCCCCCAAGCCACCCTTGTCCCTCTGCAGCTCCACAGACAAGTAGCCTTAGAGTGCTCTGCTGGCGTGACCTGGCCACAGCCCCTCCACTGTCCTTGGCCTCTCTGTGAGGGGACAGACGCAATGTCCTTCTCGGAAGCACCATCCGGTGTCTTGAGATAAAACGGCCCCGTGTTTATTTTAGGGCAGTGCCGGGAAAACAGAACATAGGAGATTGTAAAGGTGAACTGCTTGACCGCATGTCTGTAAGCAAGTCCTCACAGACCTCCTCAGAGATAGAGGCCATCTCACCGTACCGCTCCCACAGAGGACACTGTTCACGCTGATGTGGCTATTCTCCAGGCAGCAGGGCTGAAGTGTTATTCCTCAAATGCTCCACTGCTGTCTGCATGGTCACTGGGAAGGAAGACTCCTCAGCCCCTGGGGGTGGTTGGGAGCTAGAGCCCACAATCTCCCAGTTCTCCCCAGTTAGAGCACTCTGGCTATGCACTGATTTATTCATAAGTCATGCAGCCGTGTCTAGCCCCACTGTGCTAGGTGATGTACAGGTAGCAAGAGCTGGGCCCTGCTCCAATTGCTTACAAGCCTGGAAGAAGCAGGGTGGGAAGGAAGGTTACAGGGCAGGTCAGAGCTAGGAACAGACCACAGGCTACCTGAGAGCTAGGCCAGTACTGAGGCTGCAGGACTGTACAGCTTCCCCAGTAACGTATGTAATGGTATCTGATTTCTCAGCGAGGACAAAGGAGTCCTCCCCCACAAGGCCTGTTACACAAGGGTGCAGCAGCTGACCACAAGAGAACAGTGTGGCCCAGCTACCTCTGACTCCCCAGTGTGAATGGCCTGGTACCTTTTACAGCTGGGGCAACTAAAGTGGTGCTCTTCAGTGTGACTTCAGAACAAGGCTTACACGCATGCGTGCACGCATGACGCACACGCATGCACATGCATGCGCACACACCCACACACAGACACACCCCCCACTATGCCACTGAGGCCTGTTGTTGCAGCCACTTTTTAAACTTGACAAGGCCTCTTTCAAATAGGTCTTTTATGGCTTCAATGTTCAAGATGTATTTGTTTGTCCAAGTTAGAGCTGTTCTTGTTGACCTTCAGACTCCCAAGATAAAACATATCAGCTCAGTCTTCCTTCCCATGAAAAAGCCTGGCTGCAGGCTGTTTGCCTTGCCTAGAGAGGGGGTTTGCACTGTTGTTGGAGTACCCAGGAACAGCTATGTGGGGCCTCTGTGCAGGGAAGGTCACGGAGTGAAGATCCCAAAGGGCAGGGGCACAGTGAGGCTTACTGTGTGAGAGCCTGATGTGCTAGGCAGGTGTGCACTTTGACCCTGGTGGGCTATTCTTGCCTGCTGGACTCTTGCTTTCTCTGCTGCTTGCTCCTCTTCATCCCTCTAGCTGGGCATTCCCCATTCAAATGTGCCTGGCCTGGGGTGCGGGCAGTCATACCAGCAAGCATTGCTCTGAAGACTGCCTGTGGGACATTTAATATTTAGTAGCTGCTCATTGTCTCCCACAGGCTATTTCCTCCATGTTAGTTACAACCAGACAGACCTGATGAAAAACTTGGCCAGACTGACCAGTCCAGTCTTCCAGGCGACTGGGAACAGCTCCTGCTCTGTGAGTCACCCATTTGCTCTGAGCCCCACTGCTAGTGTCCCCTATGTTCTTGGAGAGAGGAGGACAGGTGAAATCTGCAGACAGAAATCTAGGGAATACAAGCTCAGGCCCTTTCTTGCCTGAACATGCGCATGTGCACTCCCATACTGTATGCATCAGGATGTGACTGGGAAGAAACCAGCCCCTTGGGAAGTTACAAAAAGCACTGGAATTTGCAGGGCCCCAGGGCCCCTGACACCTTGTGAGGCCTCCAGTCAGCTCTCCAAGCTAAGCAGTGCAGGGAAGGGCTGGTACCTGGCCCTTTGCCTGGGGAGCCTCAGTAAATGAATCTGCTTGCAGTTACCAACTTCTGAACTGAATGGATTGTGAGGAGAGCCCACTGCTACCACAGCCTTTAGGTTGGAGGGAAGCTGCCCTTCTCAGCAACTGGGCAGGATTTTCCAGTGCTATGGATGTGTAGGGAGGCTGGGTGCCAGCTGGCTGGTGAAGGACTTCATGGTGTGAGCTACACAGCATCTTCTTGGGGGTTGGTGGCTCAGGAGAGCACTTCTGGAGGATCTGAGATGTATGTGATGCATGGTGGGTTTGGCTGAATGGTGTTACAGCTGAAAAAGTGGCTTTTTGCAGGGGCCCTGAAGAGCCTGCACTGCTTGCCTCAGGCTACCTCATCTTGGAGTTAATTCTGTGTAAATGCCCTGAGCTCTCACATTTTGGGTGCTTGGGAACACACCAGGACACTCTCAGGCAGCTGTGGGGATGAGGGTGCTAAAAGAAATAAGGAGGGTTTCCAGTGCAGCGAGACCGTGGGCCTCACTGTCCATCCGCGTGTTCTGGTTCCAGCTCGTGTTCTACTCCTACCTCTATGGCTCGGCCACCAACAGCATCAATATCTACTATGTGGCCAATTCTACCCAGACACTGGTGCGAGGCAGGACTGGGGACCTGGGCAATTACTGGTTCAGGGAGAAAGTGGACTTCAACGTGAACAAGGACTTTGAGGTGGGCAGTTAACTCATGCTGTGATGCACTTTGGGCCTTGGGGACAAAGCTGGTCACTGTACAGGGTGTGAAAGGTCCCTGTTGCAATGGTGCCCCAGAGAAATGGACAAGAAGTATAATGGTTTTTAGTCCAGGCTCCAGGAGAACAGTGGAGAAAGTCATCACCATGGCCGGTCCCACACCCAGGGGCACAGGAGCCAGTGGGAAATGGAAGTGAAGTCCCTAATTGGGGAGAAGCAGAGGAGGGGGTGAGGGCCCTTGGTAGGGCAGCATAAAAGAAGCCTGCACTGTTACTGCCCAGATTGTACATTCCTTGGCCATAACAGAGGCCCACAAGGAAGCCAGTCTGGCACCTTTTCCAGCCTGGCCCTGACTCCCACCACACACCCCATTCACTCTCCATCCACCTCCTGAACCCTTCAGACCTGGTGTCCTATCAAAGCCAAGTCTCCCCAGGGAAACAAGTTACCACAGATATCAGCCTTGCAAATCAGGAACCCTTCTTCTTTCCCTTTGGATATGAGGTAGCAGAGCCCTCATATTCCAGCGCACCGAGCCCAGTTTCTGCAAAATATAATGCAATGCCAGCTCTCATGTGAAGCTGGGTGCTGCCCTAGTGCCTGTGCTAAGTGTAGCTTGCTTCTTCCATGCAGATTGTCATTGAAGGGGTAATTGGAATAGGGAAGAAGGGGCACATTGCCTTGGATGATCTGATTCTGTCTCCAGACTGCAAACAGGCAGCAGGTGAGTGGACAGAAAGGGTCCCTCTGGCCACTCTTCACTGCACAGTCTGGGCCACAAGGTCCTTTTGTGCACTCCAGCTGTGCCTGGAGTATGTAGCCTGTCTGCTGAGCTCCTGGGCAAACCATCCAATTCCTGTCTCCCCTCTTCAGGCAAGCGAGCTGTTGTTGTCCCTGAAATCAATAGCTCCTGTAGCCCAGAGAAGTTCGTCTGTGAAGATGGGGAATGCATCAGCCAGGAGTTTGCCTGTGACTTTGCAGTGGCATGTAAAAATAGCGCTGATGAGAAGTTCTGTGGTAAGGGATCACATGGGGCTGTGCTGGAGAGGGGCAGGCTCCATAATACCAGGGGAACAGAGCAAGGCCTGGCACTTGGTGCGGAGGGGTTGAGAGCCCTGGCTACAGCAGGGAAGGAGTTGGCCTCACAGCTGCTCTGCCCATGCCCCTCAGTGTCAGCTATGGCACACTCTGCTCTTCCAGCTGGGGAATATGCCAGTGCCCTCAGTCTAGTCCTGCAGCCACTTTCCAGTCCAGCCTGGGGTGGTCTGTGCCCACAGCTTGGCCAGTACCCCTTGGTCCTCACCTGCAGTCCCTGCCACTCCAGCCTTGTCTTGCCCTGCCCTGCCCTGCCTTGCCTTGTCTAAAGGCTTTGATCACATGTAAGTCCTGCTTTTAAGTCAGCCCTGCCCTGGTAGCTTTGGCAGGAGGGAACTGTAGTCTGGGTAAGTGTAGCAGGCCAGGAACTCTCCAAGGCTGTGAGATGCCAGTGCTGGGCAGCCTGTAGTGCTCAGGGTTGTGCACTGGCCCCAGACCTTATCTCTCCTGGCTCAACAAGGCCTTAGGGTATGAGCAAAGTGCCGGCTGGCTGCTTGCTCCTGGCAGTGGGAGCTCTCCTTCAGCACAGGCAGGCCTGGGGGGTTCAGTGTGGGTGGCCTGGGGTCTGCACAGCCCAGACACTTGCTTTGGCACAGACCTTCAGGGCTGAGGCTGCCAGAGCTGCACTCCATGCCCCTCTGCTTCTGGCTCTATGGCTGGGGAGCACATGGATGCTGGGTCCCAAGCATGGGCAGCTGCAGGCTGCTGAGGTCTTTGTTTTTGCAGGAGACACTGACTTTGAGGCTGGGTCTGGGGGCTGGAGGGACGTCAGTGTGGGTCAGCTGCAGTGGGTGACCATGAGAGCCAGCGAGGCCCTGAGCCCTGGCACAGACCATACCACCAATACCTCTGCAGGTGAGATCACCCCAGCTCCCTCAGTGGGTGCCCATCCCTGCTGCCCTCTCCCCGCTCCACCCCCCTATGGCTGTCTCTGCAAATGAGATCCCATCGCTGCTCCCTCTGCAGTGGACAGCAGGGAGGAGAAGGGCAGCTTCTGGGAGGACAGGAGAGGGGTTAGCTGGCACTGCCTGAGGATGGAGTGGCCGATGTGGGAGTGCCTGATAGAAGGGGCAGGAGGGGGTGGCTGGCACTGCTGGGGCATGAAGGGGGAGGGACGACCTCCCTCCAGCCCTGCCATGCTTGCCCCAGGCTGTTTCTCTGCTTAGGCAGCTACCTGGCAATGCAGCGTGCTCCAGGCCAGATGGTGACAGCGGCAAAGGCACGCACGCCCCCGCTGGGCCCCTCCGGCCTGGCCTGCTCCCTTGAGATGTTCTACTGGCTCCAGAGTGACCCCCAAGGTAACCACATCCATTCCTCTGAGCCGCTGACCTGGTGGCTTCCCAGCGTGGCTCAGCTGCACCCCTGCTCCCAGGATGTGTCAAGATTGGGGCCCTTCTGAGTGGGATCCCCTCAGAGCTTGACTGTGCTGCTGCAAAAGAGGCTCCTGGTGCCAC